TCCCTCTGTGCAGGGTCAGAGGAGACTGAAGGGCAGTGGGCCTGCAGATGCTCCTAGAACTCCCGTCTCTGGACACTGGAGGGTACAGCAGCCCTGTTCCACCCTGAGGGAGGGCCAACCCTCCCCAGTCAGTGGGTGCCTCCATTTGGCTTCCCAGGCCATGATGGGCTGAGTGGGGACCCTGCCGAAGCCCAGTGGAGACTCCTCCCCCTGCCGGGGAGGACAGACAGTGCCCTGAGGGGTGCGCTCCTCCCCAAGGCTGGCCTGCGGCGCTCACTTGGCAACGGCCCCTGCAGCGCTGGGCTTCCCCACATTGAGCTTTGGGATGGCGTGTTGGGGGGCCCTGGCTGGTCTGGCCGCTCTGTGAGTGGCCCCTCCTGGCCCAGCCCTTCTGATTTGGGAAGACGTGACCTTGCTTTGAGGAGGGAACCCCAGAGCCAGAAGCTCTTCTCTCCCATGGAGACAGTTTAATCTGCTGCCTCAAAGGTCGGTTCAGTCCCCTGGGTGCCCCGCCCTGAAGCTGGCCACAGGGGAGGGCCTTGTCCCAGGGGCTGTCCTGGATCCTACTGCCCAGCTTGGCTGGTGGATGACAGGCTCCGTGCCCAGGGACTAGAGGTATGCAGACAGCCTGAAGCCAGGGGGCGCCCCAGCCTGACCCACCTTGCCCCCTAGCCCACCCGCGCTGTCTTCTGGGCTCAGCCATCCGGCTTGCAGCCTCCACCTGCCGGGCAGTGACTCCCAGAGTGCTGGCCTGGTCACAGCCCGTGAGCAGCACACGCCAGGTGGCTTGCTATGCACTCTGGGCTATTCTTATCCTGACAGTGATGTCACCAGCAGCCAATGGGAGGCAGGTTTATTTCCAGGGCCGACAGATTGATAATGGTTAATTTTAGCTGGGTCTTCATTGCCGAGAGGCTAGTGAAACCTCAGCCAGCGAGGAGGGGGCAGCCTGTGCCTCTCTGACAGCTCGAGGATGGGCTCCAGGCTCCCAGAGGGGCTGAGTGGGGTAGGGCCTGTCCCTTTTCCTTCCATTTTGCTCCCCAGAAGCAGCCCTGGTAGCCCTGGCCCTCCTGGCCTGCCCTTCCCCCACCCTTGGCGGCTTCCCACGGCCACTGTGACCAGTGACTCAGATTCAGAAGGAGGGCTACTGAGGGGCCTGAGGCTGGCTTGGGGCAGGGCCAGGGGAAGCACAGTCCATGACATAGGGCTTCTGTCTGGTAGTCACAGTGGTCTGACTCAGGCCTTCTGAGCACCTACTTGCAGTGTGACCTGGAGTAGAATCTTAGCCTCTCGTGCCCAGATACCTCATGGGTTCACAGTGTCCTGAGGCCTGCCTTGCAGCCCTTACCCCACAGGCGAGAGCGATCAGGACTTGGAGATGGCTGTTCTATGTGGCATGTGATGGAGTTACTCAGCACTGCTCAGTTCCTGGTGGGCCAAGTGCTGCTGACCATTCAGAAGTTAGGGTATGTCTTTGTCTTAGTCTGGTGCTATAACAGAGTTCCTGAGACCAGGTGACTTACAAAAGACAGAGATTTGCTTCTCACCCTCTGAGTGAGTCTGAGATCAAGGTGTGAACATCTGGTCAGGCCTTCTTGCTGTGTCATCTCATGGAAGGAGAGGAAGAGCAGAGGAAGACCCCCTCCCTCAAGCCTTCTCACAATGGACCCCTCCCAAAGGCCACCTCCCAGCTGTGCCGCTCTGGTCAAGTTTCCAGCCCTAAACCTGGCACCCAGAGGCAGTAGCGGCTATGGGAGTTGTCCGGTGCTACTCTGAGGCCAGCAGCTGCTCAGCGCTGCCAGTGTGGGCAGGCGCTCAGCACCATGAGCCTGACGTTGCAGTTACCTTGTGTAGACCCCCTTTCTGTGCATTCTGAACATCTCCAGTGCCCGTCGGGGCTCGTGGCACCCTGCAGGACTGTACAGCTGCATGTCCTGGAGACCCTGGGGGACCCCTGGCCCCCTCCCCTGGGGCCAGTGCTCAGGTATTTTGGGGAGCGTGCCATGTCCTGCCACTATGGCCATGGCCCTGAGCCATTCCAGGCCTGCTCAGGGCCTTGCTGGCCAGCTGCTCCCAGAAATGCACAGTAAGAGCAGTGGCTCAGACCCTAGTTGGGACCCTCTGAGGCTGAGGGCAGCCCAGGAGCCTGCATGCTGGCAGCATCCCAGGGCCCTCAACCCCTTTGTGTGGCCCGGCCAGCCTGCAGAGCCCTAAGCCAGCCTAGTCTTCAGGCAGGAAGGGGCATGGAATAGAGAGACTGGCAGGGCGGGCGGGCGGGCGGGAGGTCTCGCTGTCTGCCAGGCGTTTATTTTTAATTCCTGGCTCCCAACAGACAATATCAGCAGCACTCGGAAGTGTCCGGTCATCTGAGAGAGCAACCCTGACTCAGGCCAGTGTGAGCCCTCCCCTGCTGGAGGACCCTCCCCACCAGCTGGGGAACCAGCCTTCACCTTCACTTCTTCCTCACACGCCTGCTCCGGCGCCTCACCAGACCTCACCCAGCTAAAGGCACTGGGCCCTGGTCTGGTCTGGACCTTGTCTAGACCTAGTGGACATTCACTGGGACAGAGGGGACAGGCATAGAGTGCTGTCACTCACTCCTCTCCCAAGACCCCCTTGCTGTGAGCCTGTCTTCCCAGCCCCTGCAGTGACAAAGACCCCAGTCAGATGGGGATGGGGTGGCAGCCTGGGCGTGAGGTTGGGAAAGAAAATGCAAATGCCTGGGTGAGATGACCAGATGGACGTCTTCACCCGAAGAGGCGGTCACTTCCTCTCCTTAAAGCCCAACTGGATACCCATACCTGGCCATGACCTCAAGGACTCAGTCTTACAGGGCCAGGAAGGAGGGGCAGACCGGCTGTGGGGGCCTGAGGCTGTCTGGGCTTGCTGCCCACTGCCTGGGGCTGTCTGCCTCCCTTGCCCTAGGAGGGCTTTCAAGGGAAGCACATCCGGGGAACAGGGACCAGGTGGAAAAAGGCTCTTCCCTGGGTCTCAGAGGGAGGAGGTTCTGGGCTGGGCCTGCTGAAGGAGCCTCCTGCTGAGGGGGCCATGCCAAGCCCAGTGGGCCAGCACACCCAGGACCACCACATCAAAGGTGCCCCTCAGAACGGGACTTCGTCAGTTCCTTGGGCCTCAATCATGAGCAGGGCTGCGGGGCAGGAGACATACAGACCCCGGCCTGACGTATGGCCTCAGCATCCCGCCTCCCCTCCGACACCTGCAGCCCAGTGCCGGTGTTCCTCCTCCTCCGCCCGGACGTGTTTAAACATTGGAAGAGCCTTTCTCCGCTCTCCAGCCGCGGGTCTCCGGTCACCCGCCCCCCGCCCGCGCCCCTGGCGGTTCCCCCTGCCCCTCTCCTTGCCTGCCCCTCCCTTTCTGGCTCCGGCTCCCAGCCTCCAGCTCTCCGCGCGCCGCGCTCCCTGTTTCTCCCTCCCCGCCCGCGCTCGCTCGGGTGCGTCTTTGCCGCTGGCTCCTCGCTGCACCCTGAGTCCGCGCCGCGCCCGCCCGCGCGTGCGTGGGTGCGCGGCCCCTGCATCCCGCTTCCCTCGCGCCCGCCGGGCCCCGCCCTCCCCGCGCCGGTACCGCATTGCCGTACTGCAGGGGCGCAGTGCATTGCGCCCGCACCGTCAATAGGTGGACCCCCTCCTGGAGAGATAAAACCGCCGGCGCCGCCGCCGCCAGTCCCTCTGGCTGAGACCTCGGCTCCGGGTAAGGACGCTCGGTCTGGGTGCCCGGCTTCGCCCCAGCTTTCCGCAGAGGGACCCCTCCCTGGGGACCGGTCCTGGGGCCGAGAGGGGCCGGCACGGCGTTCGGCGAGCTGCGCAGCTAGACTAGCGGATACCCGCCCGCCGCAGCGGGATCCACACGGGTGGACCCCGAGGGCGGCCGGGCGGTGGGTCCCCGCGGCACTTGTTTACGCGGCGGCGGCCACCGTCTCCTGGGCCGCGCGGCCGCCCTGCTGCCCTGCTGCCGTGACCTTGGGGCCCTGAGCGGCCGAGACTAAGGTTCTTGGGGCTAGGGACTCTGCCGGCGCCGCGCTGTGCGCCCGAACAGGGCGCGGGGGTGGCAAGACCTGGGGTCTCACGGCCCCACCCGGCGGAGTGCCAACCCTAGGCACCCGTGTTCCTGCCCTTTCCCTCTCTTGCCTCCGGTCCCCTTCCTGGGCTACCTGGGCTTCCCGGGTGAACTCGGGGACCTGTCTGGGGCTGAGACCCAACGCAGGGACCAGAAGGAAGTGGGGGAGGGTGGGGGGCCCTGGTGCCCCTGTTGGGCTGAGGGCATCCCTGCAGCATTTGCTGAGCTTGGGGGGTGTCCTTTCTTTTCTCATCAGAGCAGCACCCCCCTCCTGCTGTGCCCCCTGCCCAGGTCTGGGGGAGGCCTGGGCTATTCTGGGCCCTACCTGGGCACCACATCTGTCTCCCAGTGCCAGCCTGCAGGCAGGGACAGAGAAAGATGGCGCCCTCCCTCCGAGGAGGGGAGTGTGGGTGCTGACCATCTCTCCCCCGTGGCAGCAGGTGGGGGTGGGGTGCAGTGTCCCTGGCTGGGGCTGGGGCGGGCAGCATCTAGGAGGACGGGAGGACAGGGCACTGGAGAGCCAGGCAGGGTGACTCATCACCAGCTCTGGGCTGCTCGTGGGGCGCCTCCAACCCGCTGTTTCTTGCTGTCAGATGGGGTTAACCCCTCAGTAATGCGTGCTGACACCCAGACATGTACAGCAAATTGGACCATTTTGGCTAATGTGTGGGGTGGGGGGAGCACATGTTGTGTGATCAACTGGGTCAGGCTGCGTTTGGGAGGTGGGGGTCTTGGCCTGGGCTTCAGGGCAAGGATTGAGGGTGGGGTGTGCTCACAACCTGTGCCAGTACACTGTCTCTGCTGGCTCCCTCTGCACCTCCCCATCACCTGCTCCCCCCTCACTGACCCCACAGAATCCCTGCTCAACACCCAATCGCCCTGAGCCAGAGCCCCAATCGTGCCAGCCCCTCTCCCACTAGGGCAAAATGGGCAAGGAGAAGACGCACATCAACATCGTGGTCATTGGCCATGTGGACTCAGGCAAGTCCACCACAACAGGCCACCTCATCTACAAATGCGGGGGCATTGACAAGAGGACCATTGAGAAGTTTGAGAAGGAGGCGGCTGAGGTGAGCTCTAGCCCCCCCCCCCCCCCCCTAATGGCTCCTGCGTGGCAGTTGAGCTTGGTTCCCTGACTCCTGGGTGTCTGGATCAGTTTTCCTCCTTCAGAGCAATGGGCACACGTGTCTCTGGGGGCCATATGGGATTTGACAGCAGTGTGGGGGTGAACGGGGTCAACCTCTCTCAGAATGTGCTCGGTGGGGGTGGTATTGGGCTGCCAGGTCTGCCGCATGGCAAATGAGAAGTGTCATTTCCGCCCTGCAGGGTCCAGGGCAGGGCTCTGTACTCTGCCACAGTGGGCCCCAGGGGCAAGGCTTGGGCTTGAGGTGGTGCTGCCCTCGGTTGTCCCAGGATTGGGCAGGACTCAGGGCTGCTATTAATAGCTGATTGACGGGCAGTGTGCCTGCCAGCTCCATTTTATTGTGCCGGGCTGTGCAGTCTGCTTGTCCAGGGTGTTGCCCTGGGGTGGGGGTCCTGGTGGCCTGCAGAGGATGGAAGGGGCCAATTGGTTGCCTTCTTTCTTTGTGGCTGAGACCTGTGGGTGGGAAGTAGCCATAAATGGGGGCCTGTTCTCTGCCACCATTCCCTCCCCCTGAGCTCTGGGAGAAGCCCACTTGGGAGGACCTGGGGGAGGGTCTGAAGAACCGGGATGATGCTCACCTGGCACCCGGATGAGGGGGCCTTTGGAGGGCCTGGGGAGCCTGTGAGGACCCTGGGAGGACCTGGGGGCCTGGAGAACTTGGGAGGGTGTTCAGCTGCACCCGGATGAGGGGCTGTGGCAGGGCTGGGGCACGGGCAGCCAGTGTCCTGGGCTGAACCCTGTCTTAGTGGTGGTGGGGTACCCTGCGTACTGTCACCCCAATATACATCACTCTACTTGGGATAGTGAGGGGAAGGGACCAAGGGGCTGAAGGACCCCTGGGTCAGGTCCCAGATGGGGCCTAGTCCTGTCTAGGGGAGCCCCTCCAGGCTAGACAGCCTCCCTGGAGGGCAGAGGCCTGTCCCTGTGAGGACCGGGCAGGGAGCCGAGCCCAGCTGGGTGACAACTGCACCTTGGCCCAGGTTGTGGGGTCCCCTAGCCCCCAGTACCCAGGTGTTTGCAGAGAGCGGCCAGCCTTGCTCCTGGGGGAAGGCCCTGCTTCCTTTGCTCAGGGGGGAGGGAGGCACCTCAGAGCCCTCTGGGAGATTTCATTTGCCATAGAAAGAGCTGGAAAGACAAGCCTTCCTGGCAACCTCCTCTGATTTCTGTTTTCTGTTAAACACGCGCGCGTGTGCGTGCGCGCATGCACACACACACACACACACACAGGGGTTTTCACACTGAAGTTTTCAAACCCAGAGGTGTTATTGGCCTCTGACTTTGAAGGGGTGGGTTCCCCAGCTTCAGATGCAGGGGTGCTCTTTGCTGAGGAGGGGTTCATTGCGGCTGGCAGGTTCCAGGCCCTTGCGCCACCTGCTGGTGGACACTGGCGATTGTGGCCATTTGGGAAGCGGTGAGAGGAGGGCCCTGGGAGGCATTGTGTGGACACTTGGCAGGGCAAGGTAGGGTGTGGGTGTCACCAGAGAGAGGGGGCCAGAGTCCCAGGGCCCAATGGGGAGCAAGGGGCAAGAGCCCCACTCCTGCTTCTCAATGCTGCTCCCAGGACCCAGGGCAGCCCTGGCCAGGGACGGTGACCACTGAATCTTGGGCCCTGTCCTGAGCTGTGTGCCTGCCCTCCAGATGGGCAAGGGCTCCTTCAAGTATGCCTGGGTGCTGGACAAGTTGAAGGCAGAGCGGGAGCGCGGCATCACCATCGACATCTCGCTCTGGAAGTTTGAGACCACTAAATACTACATCACCATCATCGACGCCCCGGGCCATCGCGACTTCATCAAAAACATGATTACCGGCACCTCCCAGGTTGGTAGGGCGAGGGAAACTGGGGACCTGGGGGCATGGAGTGAACCCTTGTCACCACTTGCCCCACCTGGCACGGAGTCCCCAAGAACTGAGTCAGTACTCTGCACTTAGCTAGGTGGGTGCCTGCAAGGATACCAGCCAGAGGGGACAACTGGTGTGCCCTTCATGGACATGCAGATGTAGAGGCCAGGATGGGGACAGCTAGAGGTGGGCAGCAATGCACATGATTAGACTGGACAACCAGACAGTCCTGGTGTATTCACACAGACAGGTGGGGGAACAGGACCAGAGGCTGAGTGACTTGTCAGGGGACACACAGCCTGCTGGTGGTGGAGCCGGTGCCCAAACCTGTGTCTGCTTGACTTGGCCTGATGGGGGAGACTCCCCTGCCCCTGATGTGAGACCCCCCCAGGTTCCTCCCCCAGGACCTGCTCAGTTAGGGCAGGGCCAGAGGCTCACTATCCCCACCTGCTGGGCAGGCGGACTGCGCCGTGCTGATCGTGGCTGCAGGTGTGGGCGAATTTGAGGCGGGCATCTCCAAGAACGGGCAGACCCGAGAGCACGCGCTGCTGGCCTACACCCTGGGGGTGAAGCAGCTCATTGTGGGCGTCAACAAGATGGACTCCACGGAGCCCGCCTATAGCGAGAAGCGCTACGACGAGATTGTTAAGGAGGTCAGCGCCTACATCAAGAAGATTGGCTACAACCCAGCCACGGTGCCCTTCGTACCCATCTCTGGCTGGCATGGAGACAACATGCTGGAGCCTTCACCCAACGTGAGTGCCATCTGGCTGCCCTGCCCAGAGCCCAGAGCAACAGGATGCTGGGCCAGGTAGATGAGGGCTGAGCAGGGACATCAGAGGCCCGTCTCCAGCTTCCTCAGTCCAGCTTGCTTTCCCTGAGCACTGGAATGGTGGACACCAGCCTCCTGGGGAGGTCATGGCCTGTTCTCAGGGTCCAGGGTTCTGCCTCTCCTGTTCAACCTCCCCATGAGCCCATCAGAGGCAGCTGAGGTTCCTTCTCTGGCTAGGGAAGGACCCCCAAGCCAACCCTGCAGGGCAGTGGCTCATGTGTCTGGTGTCCAGGATCCCATCACAGGGGGATTAATTTCCATGTCCCCCTGGAACACTTTCCTGGCCCTGCACAACTTGCAGGGTCAGCAGGGATGCAGAACCCCCCTGGGGTCTGGAGTGAGGTTGGGCTTTTGGCAGTGTGCTTATTCCTGGGCTGGTGGGGAAGGCTGAATGCTGGCTCTTGACTGGTCATCTGGGAAGCTGAGGCCCAGGGCCTCGGCCTTGTCAGGGACAGTTTTAGAACCTTGGACTGTACTCCTAGGACTCTGTCCAGCCAGAGGAGATCCCTGTCCTAAAAGGGCAGCCACTTGGTTCTGGCCAGCTCTGTAGCCACCTCAATTGAGAGAGTTAGTGTAGAGCTAGACCTGGGGGCACAGTGAGGTTGTCTTGGACCAGCTGTGTGGAGTGCAGAGCCCATGGTCCAGGAACGCAGCTGGGCAGGAAGAGGCGGCTCCCCACCTCTCTTTCCAGACTGAGCACCATACCCATGGGCGGGTTCCCTGGTGGCATTGTTGATGGGTGAGTGACCTGTCCAAGAACTCTGTCCTGCACTGCCCACAGGCCTGAGGTGTAATAGGATCTAAGGAGGCCAGAAGAGGCTCCGTGGTAGGGAGGGCTTTCGGCCTACCTCTGGAGAGGCCCCTGAGCTTGGAGATAACATGGTGACCAGCAGAGCTTCTGGGGCTGGGGCCAAGTCTGGACTCTGTCCCTAGCCTGGCCAGCATGGGAGGTCAGGCTGGGGTCTGTTCAGTGTCAGGAGCATTGCCACCGAGTCTGGGCCATTGAGGGGGCTTTTCTCAGTGCTCCTCCCTCTTTCCTAAGAGAAGTTTGTCCAGGGTCTCTGTGGGTTGGGAATGTGGGCTGGGGGCTGGGGGAGATGAGGACAAGGAGATCAGCACCTGGAGGGGCACAGAGCAGTTTAGTGGCAAGAGTCAGGCACCAGCTGCCTGGGGGAGGGCCACTCCCCAGCAGAAGCCACTTCTAGTTCTGGGGCCCTGGGGGCCAAGGGCCTGTGGTCTGCAAGTGATTGGAGTGAATGGAGCCTCCCTGCCCCCGCCCAGATGCCGTGGTTCAAGGGCTGGAAAGTGGAGCGCAAGGAGGGGAACGCAAGCGGCGTGTCCCTGCTCGAGGCCCTGGACACCATCCTGCCCCCCACACGCCCCACCGACAAGCCCCTGCGCCTGCCTCTGCAGGACGTGTACAAGATTGGCGGTAAGTGAGGCTGCTGTGCTGCCCCACAGCTCCCCTGCAGGCCTCGTCACTCCTGCCCGCCAGACCAGGGCCCCAGCTGTCCCACTCCTCTCCCACAGTGCATTCTGGGGAACTGTCCATCCCCTCCGTCCGCCCTCTGTCTACTCACTGTCCTGTCTACTTGTCAACGCATCCTCTCCTCCCACACACCCCACCCAGACACCCATCTGCCCAGCGCTTGCCAGGGTCTCCCTCCCTCCAGGGAAGTGCTCAGCACTGTGCCAGGAGCTGGTAGCATAAGTAGGAACTCAGAGGTGACCCCCTCTTCACCCAGGATGACTGTCTCACGGGACACAGTCCTCCTCTAGGATTGAGAAACACAGGCCATGGAGTGCAATGGAAAACATGGTGCACACCTGCAGTCCTGCCTCTCGGGAGGTCGAGGCAAGAGGATCGCGGGCTCCAGGCCAGCCTGGGCAACTTAGCCTAACCTTGAGACCCTGTCTCAAAACTAAATTCAAAAAGCCTGGGATGTGGCTATTGCCCAGCATCCATGAGGCTCTGGGTTCCATCCCAGCCCTGCAAAAACAAACCAGCAAACAAACAGACAAGAGCCCCAGAAGGGAGAATGGCGGGTCCTCCTGGCTAGGGCCTGTGGCCGAGGTGGTGTGGGTGCCACCTCTTCACACAGAGGGAAGCCACCAGCCTCAGGCCCCACCATATGGAGGCCACAGAGCCTCTGTCCATCACAGCCCAGGGAGGGTGGAGAGTCCCCAGCCCTGGGGAAGACAAGAAAGTCTCAGCAGCCATGCAGGTGTTAGCGGCTTGTGAGAAATGCTGGGGTACAGATGCCCCTTAGTGACAGAGACCAGCAGCACCACAGTGGAGCCCATGCAGGGCCACGGTCGATGGCTAGAGCAGTCCCAGAGCTGGTCCATGCCTTGCTCTGGTGCTGTAATCTGAGGGCCACAGGAGGGGTCCTCAGAAAGAGGAGGCTCCTGTGTTGCCGCTGAAGGAATCCCTTCCTCTCCTCCTCTTTGCCCCTCCCTGTCTCTGAGTCCTTGGGACCTTTTTCTCCAGTCTCGCGTTTCCCTAATGGGGTCAGGCAGCCGCTGCTTCTGTTGAACCTCAGTGTTAGCCTTGCCTTGGGTCTGCTCCCCAGATCCCTCCTCATGGCCCGAGCACGCAGCCCAAGCTGTGTCTCCAGGGTCTCTGCCCACAAGTCTCACCTTCCCAACTCCTCCCTGCTGCCCCTCACAGCCCCCTCCTCTTGGCCCAGGCATTGGCACTGTGCCCGTGGGCCGAGTGGAGACGGGCATCCTTCGGCCGGGCATGGTGGTGACCTTCGCACCAGTGAACATCACCACGGAGGTGAAGTCGGTGGAGATGCACCATGAGGCGCTCAGCGAGGCCCTGCCTGGTGACAACGTCGGCTTCAACGTGAAGAACGTGTCCGTCAAGGACATCCGCCGTGGCAATGTGTGCGGGGACAGCAAGTCTGACCCCCCTCAGGAGGCTGCACAGTTCACCTCCCAGGTCAGTAGCTGTGCTGGGGTCTGGGGCCTTTCCTGCCCAGGACAGCAGCAGGGCTGTCCTGGGGGAGGTGGCTGGCAGCACTCAACCTGAGGCCTGGGAGAAGACAGCCCCTCCTTCAGCTGCAGGCCACCCAGGCCGGACTCTTGTCACTCAATGCAGTCCTCATCTGCTGGCCACAGCAGCTGAGAGGTCCAGCCAGTGAGGCCTGCTTTTGTCCTGAGAGACACTTTTATCAACTCACTGCCTCAAATGTCCCCATAATGCTCTGTTCTCCACAGTGTCCTGGCATTCTTTGACCGCCTCTTCCTGTGGGTCACCTCTTTACTAGGAGTAGTGGAAACACAGTAGTCAGCTCCAGTTTTGCCACAACGTCCAGGCTGTGGCTGGGGTTTGCAGCATTGGTGTTGGCTGGCCCCTCCAAAAATCTAGTCATCAGTTCACTTCAGGGTTTGCCCCTGTTCAGTGAGGATGCTGGTGTCCAGGTCTGGAAGTGGGAGTCCTATGGCATGGGCTTCCTTCATGGTTAGCAACCCTGGCCTAGAACCTGGGAGATGGGCTCTGTGATGGAGCCCCCACCCAGCGCTGCCCTCCCCAGTGGTCCCTGGGAGCCAGGCCCAGACATGCTTCATGCTGGTTGCAACTGTGCCTCAGGTCATCATCCTGAACCATCCAGGGCAGATCAGCGCCGGCTACTCGCCGGTCATTGACTGCCACACAGCCCATATCGCCTGCAAGTTTGCCGAGCTGAAGGAAAAGATTGACCGTCGTTCTGGCAAAAAGCTGGAGGACAATCCCAAGTCCCTCAAGTCCGGCGATGCAGCCATTGTGGAGATGGTGCCTGGGAAGCCCATGTGTGTGGAGAGCTTCTCGCAGTACCCACCTCTAGGTGAGAAGGATGTTTGAGGAAGGTGCAGCCATCAGGTGACCCCTATCCCCACTGAGGGCAGAGGACGGCTGGGGTGGGGTACAGTGGGCCTACTTCTTATCAGAGTCCTTTGCTGAGGTTAAGCCTGGAGGCTACTAGGAGACCGGGGTCACCAGGCAGGCCTGATGGTAATTCTGATGAAGGCAGCTTGCCCGAGGCCCACAGTCAGACTTAGTGACCGCCCAACAGTATGACCTGGCCCGTCCCCAGGGCCAGCGGCCCTATGCAGGGATGCCAGGCTGAGGCCGCTTGTTTACTAAGAGGCTGCGGTCCTCGCTCAGAGGGGCGTCGCGCGCCCAGTGCGCCTGCGCGCTGCATCCCAGCCTGGGGCGGAGCCGCCGCTCACGCGCTCCTTTCCGCAGGCCGCTTCGCGGTGCGCGACATGCGGCAGACGGTGGCCGTGGGCGTCATCAAGAACGTGGAGAAGAAGAGCGGCGGCGCCGGCAAGGTCACCAAGTCGGCGCAGAAGGCGCAGAAGGCGGGCAAGTGAAGCGCGGGCGCCCGCGGCGCGGCCCTCCCCGGCGGCGCCGCGCCCCGCCCCCGGCCCCGCCCCCGGCGCGGGCCCGCCG